TGGTTTATTTTTTATGCCATCTCACTGCGGTGAAATTTCTAATTTAACCTGTTTTTTTTCTGTTTGCAGCCGATGATATGGGCTTGGGTAAAACACTGAGCATGATTTCACTTGTTGTACATATAAAAGAGCGCCGCAGAGAGAATCCTGAAGAATTCAAAATATGGAAGAAAAATGCTCTAAGAGGTAAATTCTTTTACTTTGGTAGCCACATTAGTCAAAAACTAAAGCTGCATGCTTGAGTTGAAATGATAAGTAACAGCCATTAGAAGGCAGGATCACAAATGGACGGTCCAACTGGAGCAGCCGGTGCGGGTTAAATGACCAGCTGCTGTTTCATCATTAGTTGCCACTAATGAAATTGGTGATTTCATCATTCTCGATTCTGAGTTTGTTGCATTCATTCTTCATGAAGATACGTAGCTCTATAACTTGCTGATTTCATCATACCGTGACGTAAATCCATTAAATCCATACGCGTGAAATCATACCGAGTCCTTCCATTAATTCTTTCAAATTCGCACTTAAGATTTCCGCTGTATTCGTTTGACACTGCATGAGTACCATTCAGTAATCTGCTTAGTCCACTTTTTATCTCTCATTTTTGCCATATGACATTTGCCAATTTGATAATAATGTGTTAAATAGCTAGAAAAAAATTAAGATAATTTTAGATCATGAACTTGTTCGGTCGAATTCTACATTGATTGTTGCACCAGCATCGTTGATTTTTCAATGGCAATCGGAAATTGAAAAACATGTAAAAAGTGATCGCCTCTCACGTTTCATCTTTCATGGACCAAAAACCAAACGAGACAGTATCAGTCCACGGAGGTATATGGTTTTGCCAAATTTTCTTTTTCATAATTACAAAATTCAAGCTGATTTTTAGAATTTCGCATGAAATTTTCGAAGACAACATTCCGAGATGGCAAATTTTTCAGTTGATAAAATTTTAGCAGTTTTGCGATATTTTGCTGTATTTTGAACATCAGCAGCTCCTCATCAGTGTTGCTTCCTGCTAGGTCACGATGAGCTACC